TTTAGGTTAGTTGCAGGCACCAGTGCCTGGCACAGGCCTGCTTTTCCGCCGTTTCGTCACGAGCGAACAATAACTGCATGCCATGCATTATGCAAGAAGAACGACGACTTGCTCAAGACATGGCTGTGTCTAAGACTTACGAAAAAAGCTCCCGGTCGCCACCTCATGGGTTCCCGTGCTGCCCATGTACTCCCACGACTTAGAAGCATAACATCATCGACATCATCGTCATCGTCAGCGTAATGGCTACTGCTGTCTCGTCGTGTTGGTTGGTGCATCACCATCTTCGTCGTCATGAACCATGTTCATCATGGACCACGTTAATCATGCCGGCCATCATGCCCACGGCATGTGCCTGCGGACATTACCGGTGCAAAAACCAAGCAAGCTCAGCTAAAGAAGCGCGCTAGCATACGCTAGCATACTCATGTTGCCGTTGCCGACCCTTGCAGCCACGGAAATGTAGCCGTAGTCTAAAGCCGCGATGTAGATACAGGAAATCAAAACATGAAGGCCCACAAGGAGGTCAGCAGAACAAACGGGGCACCATGGCAATCTGCAAAAACAGTCAATCAGGGTTTAGGATGAGTTCTTGCCACGTATACGTACCGACCACGAGTGCAGTTCTGTCCAAGCCCGGTCTGATGCTGCTTTGTCTTCTTTCCCGCGCTGCAGCCAAGTCTTTGCCTAGGGCTCCAGTTGACGAAGCCACAGGCTACTCCATTGCCTTCTGCAAGTATTTTTTCAACTGTCCCCTAAACTCAAAACACTAAACCCTATATAATGTCCATACATGACCCATAACAGTTCGTGAACCCATGGAGCCCAAGCAAACTCTGCTCCAAGGGGTTCTTTCCTGGCTTATTCGCGTGCTCATTGCTTCTTCGATTTGGGACATGAATGCCTACACACATCTGTAAATACATGTCTCTCTCTCTCTATATATATATACGGATTATGTATGTATATATATATATATATGTATCTTAAATATATGCACACATATATCTTATATTTATGTGTACATATATATATATATGTACATTCATACATACATACATACATACATACATACATACATACATACATACATACACACATAAATATACTTATTCATATGTATATATATATATTCTCATACATAATATACATACATACATACACATATACATACATATATACATTCACATGTCTATATATATATATAACATACTCGAATATCGAACTGTTACAGTACACGGTTGCCTATGTAGCAGAGAACTTCTCGGGCTCCCTCAGCAGGCAACTGGCGCCCGAGGGTTCAGTCGGAAACCTAGGAGGAGCCTTGGAAAGAGACCGGGGAGGTGATTCGGGTCTACAGTCTGGGGTTAAGGGTTTAGGGTGAATAAAACTGTTTAGGCCTTAACGTTTTGTGTCTTCGGGTTTGGGGGCGGTTTAGGGATTACAGAGGTTAGGGACTAAAGCAGTAACAGTTTTTTGTTCGGCGACTGCACCTGGCAAGCTCCCACAACCCTAAACCCCAAACCCCATAACGGGTCAGAGATCCTACGCCCTAAACCAGCGTGCACTCCAACTTTAAAGTTCAAGGTGAAAAAGATCGGTCACTGCGAGCCGAACTCCTTCTGCCACTCTAAGTATCCTCGGATGCGAGAATTCTTCGGGCTGGCTTCCGAGATTCCTTCCTTGCAGAGCAATGAGATGCATACTGTTTTCGGGTTGGCTTATACAGGGAGGCTTGGCGCTAAATGATGCTACGGGGCTTTGGGGTTCAGGGTTTAGCGGTGTAGGGCGTGGGGTTTGCTGCTCTCAACTCAAGATTGGGGATCCAGAGGACTATAGACTAATGTAGGGGCCTTATAATACGTAGAACCGGGTTTCGGGTCATATTATACTATATTTCTACTAAGGACCCCCAAAAAATAGTATTGGCAATTAAATAGGCCCCTATACTAGGCATTATATTAAGCTTCAGCACTCGAGGCTTCAGGCAAGAGCCCTTGGCACATCTCTCACTCTCTTGTCAAGCGTTCAAGACATGAACAGGGCAAATCGTGGACTCTCACACCCTAACCAGTAACCACTACCTATAGTCTCCATTGTAGTTCCTTTCTGGGGATACCTTATAAAATCATTAATATATTTGGTTTTTTAAAAGGAACTATAATGGAGACTATAGGTAAACCCCTAAACCGATCTTTCTCCGACCTCAATAAAGGAACGACCTCCACTGCGCTCGAGCGACGGCGCGTGTCACTGTGGGAAACCTAGGAAGTATCGTTGATGTTCATTGGATGGACGGGTTTAGGGCTTCGGAGTTTAGGGTTTAAGCTACAGCAAGAAGTCACGCTTATTGACAATGAACCATACTGAACCCATATATAGCCACACACTAGATGCTAAATGAAGGTTGACGGTATAACTCTAGAGGCTAGCCAGCTCCCATCTTTAGAAGCCCGCAGGACTTCCTCGGCTGGCGAACATAGCCTCTACGAATCCAGCAACTCCGATGCCAAGTGCTCGAAATTCCAACAGACCCTAGATACTTGAGTTCGTCAAAGCCCTAGCTTCTTATTGGTGCTTAAGAAGGACTGGGGATCTACTCTCCCACTCTCCCTTAAGCACCAGTGAACTTTAGCAGTTGTAAGCTGCAAAGTTTCTCCAAACCGGTAGCTCAAGCTCCGCCCACTAACCCAGTGACTTTTTCCGCCAACTCCCAAATCCCGGTTAAAAAAGTCACCCTAGGGGCCCATACCTATACAGCAAATATTTCGGCCTTATGAAATGATGAGGGTCCAGGTATGTACTGCGTGGCCCTAAGCCCTAGACCCCAAGAAGCCTTATATCCTAAACCCCTAAACCCTAAACCCCTCGACCCCAAACCCCTAAACCCTAAGACCCTAACCCNNCCCTAACCCCCAAAGCCTAAACCCCCTTTTAAGGATCTAGGCCTTCGGAGAGACGACCTGGACCTCTTGAGGGTTTGAGCGGGTCGGCTTTGGGGGCAGGGGGTTGGGGGCATTTTTTTTTTTGTTTGGGGGGGGGG